GTCCCAAAATGAACTTCCCATTTCGGATTACGATGCTTGACTGACGATAAAGCAACTTAATCCCTGTTCATACTCAGATTACTTTTAGTAAATAAAATTTACATATGGAGAAACTACATTAAAACCGCTACAAAAGCTGATAAAAAAAATATAAATTTGATAAAAATTTGATATATAAAACATAAGATTAAGAGTAATTTAAGCTGACCATGTGAATAGTGACTGTGAAGTTCATTTTGGGACGGAGGGAGTAATAGATTGGACTTCATGTTTACATAAGCCTAATCAAATTGCATATTTTTATGAATTCATACTATATTTGACAGGAAATTAGATTTGAAATGGATTTTCAATAAATCAGTAAAACAAACAGTCAATGCAAAATATTTGCAGACTACATCAAATTTCAACACATCATAGCATCATGGAATAACAACACTTCGTATTACAAAATATAGTTATATCAATCGAGGCCACAAATATCTAAACCAACCTCCAATTTAACCAAGGCAAAAGCAATTGATTTAACGGTACCTTATAGATTTCAAGTTGCCTGGCCTGGTGTGTCTGCTGGTGGGAAACTATGGCCTTCTAACAGATGTCATACTCTTCGTATAACTACGGGATCTGAAATCAAACATACAACCAAATATTATTCAGGTTTCGAAATTGGCCATAAATAAATATCACAAGCACAAGTAGCAAAACACTCATCTTTTTTGAAAGAGACTTGAAAGGTTGAGATCCTAGAATAAGTTCATAGCTTCGCACATGGGTGTTCGTAGATTGAGATCGATTTAAGAATAGGAACGAATCAACAAGTAAACCTAATCAATATGTAGATTAAATTCTGTGAAAAAGAAAAGAAATGTATTTGGAATCAACAAATCGGTACTCACCCGGAAAATTTTGATGGCTTCGGTGTTCGATTAGAATGGCCGCCGGTGCGTTGTTTCTGTGAGATGGAGAAGCGGTGCGATGTGAGGTAGATGAGCGTATGCGATACTGGCGTAGGGTTTGAGTGAAGTAGGGTTTGAGGTTATGCGATGCAGCGGTGGTTTGGGTGACCTAAGTATACGGTGGGTTGGGTTGGACTGGGTTGAGCTGGACTGGAGTGGACTAATATTTAACAGGTTAAAATAATTGTGATGGACCTATATAATAAATTAGAATTGTAATGGGCAAGAATGTTTGGCTTGGGCTACCATGTTCGGCTTATTCTTGCTATATACTATCATCCGTTCTTTAATTCTTGCAACAATTTGACTTTCACGTTTGCCAACGCATAACTTTAACTGTAATTATATTAAATTATGTATTAGTAAATATTATAAAAATTTGATATTTTGGAAATTCACATTGATAGGAATTTAATAACATTTTATACATAATAATTTGATTATGTATATTAGTAGAAAATCGTGGTCAAAGTAAAGTCTGTGAATAGTGCAAAAATCACAATGTTGCAAAAATTAAAGAACAGAGGAAGTATTAGGATATTCTCTAATTATTTCAAAAACTTTGACATTTGATATCATGTACTCCCTCCGTCCCTAATAACTTTGCCAAGTTTGACCGGCACGGGGATTAATAAAGTAAAAACTGTGTGGTTGAGATTTGTGCAGAGGAGAGAGAATTAACTGAAATCACAAATTCTTTACTGAAAAAGGAAAGTGGCAAAGTTAATGGGACATCTAAAAAATGAAAGTTGGCAAAGTTATAAGGGACAGAGGGAGTATGGTTTTAAAGAAAATACCCGATGACATCCTTATCAAGTACACCGGAGATCCAATTGCTAAGATAGTGGAGGTCATTTATCCCAATTATCTAAAATCAAGTACAGATTTGAGTTACTTGAGAGATTGATGTCGTTGATTCTATCAACGACTACATGATAAGTTTGAATTCCAGGGAAGTTGCTAGAACATATCTTAGTTCAGATAGTGTTTACAAATCTGATTCAACGCATGATCTTATAGCAAAGTTGCACACTACAGAATTCTTGAATAGTATTAAACTCTCTGGTGTGCCAAATCATAAGTTAACTTTGAAAGTCGGTACCCCTGTCATGCGTTTGCGTAATATTGATCACTCATTGGGTTTGTGTAACGGGACAAGACTAATCATAACAAAGATGTGTGATCACATCTTAGAGGGAAGGATCCTCAATGGTATGAGTGCAGGTCAGAAAGTCTTAATATCGCGATTATCTTTTACACCGTCAGATGTTAGGCTGCCATTTAAATTTCAAAAGGAGGTAATTCCCTATTATGATTTCTTATGCAATGACCATTAATAAAAGTAAGTTCAGTCCCTCACTCACGTCGGTCTCTTATTGAAAAAGCCAGTTTTCAGCCATGAACAATTGTATGTTGCTGAGTCAAGAGTTACCAACCGTGCAATATCAAAATCCTCATCCAAAACGAAGATGATTGTCAGATAGATGAAACCATGAATGTTGTCTATAAAGAAGTGTTCCATAATCTCTAATATTTCATATTGTATTAAAATCACATTACATATTACAATTAACTTACATATTACAATTTCATTTCTTTATCGTCACAATATTTAACTTTATTCCCAATTAGACTTTAATGTCTAACGGTAATGATACCCATGCAACAAACTCCTACACCGTGCATCGCACGGATGCTATACTAGTATTATTAGAACAGAAAACAAAAAAGGAATACACTTAATGGGGCATTATTGGTGTTAAACCTAGTCATGGGTGTTTTTTAGGAGTTGAGTGGAGGACAATGAAAAATGAAGTTTAGTCCGATGTATTGGTCTATTGTAAAGTAAATGATTAAAAAGTGTACTACGTAACATACTTGTTTTTAAAGAGGATGTCATTTTTTCGTTGGTAGACTTACAAAACTATATGACATTTTGTTAAAAATGTCAATTTGTTTTGATACAAACTATATTGAAACCCTGCGAAAACAGTAAGTCGTACAAAAACATTGACTAAACTTTACAAAATTTGTATCATTTGAGACATATATGACATTTTGTGTTCTTATGTAAATGAATGATATCCCGCTGTTTAAGTGTGAAATCCCTAACAAACACTTTGAGGGCAGTGTAGAGTTGAACTTGAGGCTTTTTACCGAACACTCTGTAGGCGTGAAGTAAAATCTTTTCTTTTCTTTTTAAATACGCAGCAAAATGATAGCCACTTTTTTGAATCCTCAAAGTGTTCGTAAGCAGCACCATTCAAATAAGCCTCAACAGCGGTGAACCTATGCCACATTTGCAGAGTCATTTCTGAAATCCCCATTCTAGTTGTAGATAAATTCAATTAAAAATTCATTGCAAAAATCGGGCAGTTAATGTGCAGTATCTGATGTTAAATTCGTAGATGACTTTGAAGTTTGAAAGGCAATGAAATGGGGATTCATGCATCAGAAGCAGGTAGAGATGGTGCTTTAAATTGCTTTTCACTTTTTTTATTACAAAAAAACACTTATTTATCAATCATTACCAACTTTTACTTTTTCAGAAATACAATTTTCTCAAACAATATCAATTTTTATTATTAAGCACTCTCTCTAAAATCATTTTAAAAATTATTTTTTAAAAGTAGACCGAAGCAATCGCAAACACCCCTAATAACGGGTACAATAGATTATACTTAATGTAGAAACTTACGTTGCCATATTATTATACTAACATTTGTTTTATACCAAAAATACCCTAACCTCTATTCACTCTTATAATATTTTAGATTTAGAGATGTATGACATGAAGAATCGTTATCAATTTATTGTAAATACTCCTTTCATCCTTTAAAACTTTACTAAATTTGATCAACACATGAATTAATAAAGTAAAAACTGTGCGATTGAGGTTTGTGCAAAGAAGAGAAAATTAATTAGAACCATAAATTATTTACTTAAAAAGACAAATGTGACAAAGTCAGTGAGACAACAAAAAGAAAAGTTGACAAAGTTTTAAAAGACGGATGAAGTAATAGTAATAAACATGACCATATTTTTATTTATTTTATTACATATACATATGTTTAACTTGATGAATATATTTGCATTTTGATCCTCATAGTATTTCTCTTTGTGATGTAAATTAAATTTTCATAAGAGAAATGTAACTTCATATACTATATCATTTTTAAATAAATGCAACGATCTACATTTCACGATTGTCGTTAGACAACTTTGATCATCGATATATATAATTTTCTATTAGTAAAAAATAAAAAAAATCATATTTTAAAAATTTACAACGTGATAAATTTAACAATAATTTTTAGGAAAACAATATTAATACATTAATCAATAAAATGTAATTAAAATATAATATGTTAATAGTGTAAAATTTAACATTTGAATTTACTTAAATAAAAATATATTTATGTGGTGTCACTTGACATTGTGCATAATTCCACTTTAATCAAGTACTTTTTTTATGTTTTTATTAATAAAATTTTCTTTCTTCCAAAGAACAGTTTGGAAAATCTTTTACTTCCTTCGTTCTGAAAAGATTTGTCAAATTGACTTTTCTTAGTCAATGACAATCAACTTTGATCAATGATATTTTTTAATACAAAATTATTTTGAATATGAAAATTATATCAAATTATTCTTTATTCAAAATATGTTTATAAAAGTATAAATTTATAAATTATGTACAAATATAATAATTAAAATCATTGTCCAAAGTTTGTCATCGATCAAAGAAAAGTCAATGTGACAAATTTTTTTGGGAAGGAAGTGGTAAACGTGAGTGTCAAAATTTCCTTTTTATTCTCATATACTAGTACTTTTTTCTTTTTGAGTATTTTGGACCAACTTACCCAGAGCAATAAACATTCAAAATATAGTCATGCCAATGGGCTGTAGCCCATTTATATTGACGTTAGATATGTGCCCTAAGAAAGAGACTGCTGTGTATAATATATATATATATATATATATATATATATATATATATATATATATATATAAATAAATCCATAGCGCGTCTTCGAGAACATTGGCTAATCGCTTCCGTCGTCCCTCTTTAGCCTACGGCGCTCTCTCAAAACCCTAGTTGCGGTCGAAGGTGACGGCAAGCAACCCAGGCAATGGCGACACCCAGAACTGTGAAAGACGTTTCTCCTCACGAATTCGTGAAGGCTTACTCTGCTCACCTTAAGCGTTCTGGAAAGGTACACGTTACTTTCGCCCCTTGGTGTATCCGTTTTTGAATTATCGCTTGTCAATTAGCTCCTGTTTGTCCCGAGTTTTATGTAATTCCCTCGTAGGTTCTAGTTTTATATAACGTCTCACAATATATCTGGTAGCTTGAAAACATATCTGAAACATTAAATAATAGAAATAGATCGAAGCAATTTTTTCGTTAGCTTATTCGTACGTTACCTACACTTCAAGTGGTTACTCAATGATCTTTGAATATGTTCTGCTGCCAGACAAATTAAAGGATTCTGACCTTTGCTGGATTTTGCCACATTTCCTGTAATGACAAATGAATCACCCCCTAGGATGTATGTGCCATATTATTAATAATAATAACAACAACAACAATAATAATATTGTATAACCATTAGCGTGCCCATGAAAATGTTGTCATAATGATTCATGAGGTAACTAAAAACTGAAAGTCTGGTTTCGTAATTTAACCAGGTAGCCATTTTTCTTTCATAGTTAGTGTTCTCATTAGTACTTTATCTTTTATCTCAACAATTAATGTGATATAGTCATGATTTTATCTTTAAGGGTGATGCAGCTGCTAGGCAAGATGTAGATATGTTTTTATATCCATTGCATGTCTGCATATCAGTTGCATGATATTCTTAACTAGTATAGTTTCTACAATTATGTAACCATGTTATTGTTTTTTAAGTTACTTAAATCTTCATAGAGTGATCGTTTTATTGATGGCTTCCGATTACCTTTTGCTCCACTAGATGGAACTTCCAGAGTGGACTGATATTGTGAAAACTGGTAAATTGAAAGAGCTTCCTCCTTATGATCCTGATTGGTACTACATCCGAGCCGGTAATATCTATTTCTTATCTACAATGGAAAAAACATCCTCATGATTTCTTCTGTCAATAACAATACTCTGAATTTACTAGATACACTTTTCTGAAAAATCATTTTTGCAGCATCCATGGCCAGAAAGATTTACTTGCGAGGGGGTCTTGGAGTTGGTGCCTTCCAGAGAATTTATGGAGGAAACAAAAGAAATGGAAGTCGCCCACGTCATTTCTGTAAGAGCAGTGGTGCTATTGCTCGTCACATTCTGCAACAGTTGCAGGCAATGAAGATTGTTGATGTTGAGCCAAGAGGGTATGTTTGCTACTCTCATTATTCGTTATGCGATGAGCAAGAGGGTACATGTGTGTATAATGTACCATAGGTTTTCTGTTGTACACTTTCTCTAATTAGTGTTTACTATTGAATATATTTCAGTGGAAGGAAGATCACATCCAAAGGGCAGCAAGATCTTGATCAGGTTGCTGGAAGGATTGCTGTTTCACCAGTTTAATGATTTATCTCTGTTAATTACCTTTTATGTCATTCGCCTTCCAAAATTTTGAGACATTTTATTTGAATACTTGTAGCACTTTTGCTCTTCTCATGGGGGTTTGTCTTGAAGCTTGAAATATTAATCTCACAGACATCCAACATTCTACTTCGTTATCATTTTATTTACATCTATCATTCTGCTTTTCTGGAATCATGTTTCTCCCCATTTTTATCATCTGCAAAATGCGTTGTGAAAATCTTATTTTGCATTCCCTGCGGTTCCTATTGTTTTCGCTGAAAATTGGTCATTGAAATTTGAAATTATGCAAGTCACCTAATCAACTAAGTATAGTTCTCACTTCTCACTGCTGCTATTGTCCTATCGTCCTCTGGAGCGTACTGTTTTTCCGTTGAATAGTTTCTTAGAAAGCGTTCAATGCCTCGCAATCTAATTGTGTTCTTGGAGTCGTATTTGGAATCGTCTTTACAGAATTACAGTTATACCGTAGGAGAATTTCCTATACACTAATTGAGATTATGGAGTGGTGTGTAAATGTGTAATGATTGATGATCGACAACCACGGTCATCCCCCATGTTTGTAAATTATGTTTTTGTGCGTTTGTGTTATTTCATTTTGAGGTTTTTCTTGAAAAAAGTATTGTTGAAATTAAATTAAATTCATTTAAAGCTATGATGATTAGTGTTACCACTTACCATGGTCATATTTCAATGATTTAGTAACATACAAAGCATATGTCATTATTTCCCAAATTTTTGAAAGTTTGTGTGGTTCTAAATCATTCTTATTTTATTCTTACTTTATCAATTCAATATCAACCATATAAATTACTTTTTATTGATTTGCATATCACTCCTCTTGTCCCATTGTTAGCAAGACGGAGGGTAGGAGTTGACTCGGGTCGGGCCAACCGGCCCGCTACTGTGCAGGCCCGGACCGGCCCGATGAACCGGTTGGTGCTCGGTTCGGGCCACCCGGCCTGGTGAGGTAGACGGTTCGGGCCCGGGCCTGCTAAGTAGTGAACTGGCCCGGCCGGTTTGGGCCTGATCCGGGTCAATTTATTTATTTTTTATTTATTTTTTTTAATTTTTTGGGTTGGGTTGGGTATGATGGGCCATTTGAGGTGGTTTGGGGTGGTTTGGGGGTGAGGGGGGAGGGTTGGGGGTTAATTAGGAAAAGCCAAAAAAACAAAAAAAATTACATGAACCGAGGCCCGGCCTGGCCCGGACCGGACCTGGGGTTACCCAGGCCGGTTCCGGTCCTCCCCTTTCATGAACCGAGGCCCGGCCGGGCCTAGACCCGAACCGGAACTGATCCACCCCTAACGGATGGAGTATTAAAATAACATAGAACAGTTGAGCAAAGAATTATTTGTGTAGTAAAGAATTATATCCATTGATATGCGTTGAAAGCTTGATTTATTTAGGAATCTTCAAGCCTTTCTACTTATTGAAAAATAGTATAGTGGTTTCCATCTTTCCCATTTTTCTGTTGTTCTATGCAACACGTACTTTTTACACAGCAAAAGAACTTATACCGCTAATAAGTACGGAGTACAACAGAACCAAATCAAATGTTATTTGACTTCAAACATTGTTCACTTTCATTGCAGAGCTTTTAATCTTCTTGGTTTGAGGAATATGGAATTTTGGTTCTCGAGGCAAAGTAGGGAGCTTCTCGGACCTGATAATGAACAAGGATTAGTAAAACAAATTTACCTTGCTATTATTAAATCACTCCATAGTGTTATACCTAAACTGTGTCTAATTAATATGCTTCTTGAGTACTTAAATGCCTTTATCAAATGAGAGCTGATGATGGCAAAGAAGTTAAAATTGGTATCAAGTGTATTCTTGATTTATGAAAATGACACATTTTTTTTACCAAAATTCGTAGAGCGGATTTAGGAAGCTAGCCACATTTCACACAAGTCAGAAAAAACATGATATACCATGACTTTTTACCTTACAGGAATGAAAGGCCTGTCGAAGTAGGGTAATGGTTGGGCTTTTGGAACAAGTTCCTTTCGCAGCCTTCTGATTTCCTCTTCTTCAGCCAACTAAGAATATTAAGAAAATAAAATTAGACAAACGAAAACCCCATGCAAAAGAATAAAACTTCTAATGATATGTATGTTAGCATATTACCTTCTGTAACCTGTCTCTTTCCATTTTTTGTTGTTCAATGATGCGCAGTTTCTCTTCCACCTGATGTGCACAACAACAAAAACTTACAAGAACGTTCTGACTAGGATTGAAAACATAAACACAAAAAGTGCTGCTAAGATCCATATGAGTAAAGATTGTTCAGGGTAAAGGGACTGAAAAAGCCATGGATACCCTTCATATGGAAAAGGTATATCCCACCTGGAATTTTTTTTCGTAATATGGCTGTGCGTAAATAGAGGTTGGCTACTATGGATAACCTCCATTATTTGGACATTTAGAGACAGTTATGTTTCTGCTACTCGCACATTGAAACGGCTGCACACCCATTTTTCAATGCCTGGTTATTATGAGCCTTGTATGGAAGCATATATGTGGCTGGTTGGGAATCAAGGGCAGGATGTCTACTATTGCTAGTCCAATTAAATGGATGAAGAATGAACATCCTGGCTCAAAAACAAGGCTGTAAGGCTTCCTTTAGTATGCACAGTAAATGCAATTTGAAAAACCTTTTATTAAAGCTTCTTCCACCATACATAATGATTTGGAATATTAAAGCTTCTCGCACTCTCCAGCTGATTTGGTTGCTTAGTGATTTCCCCAACCCTTTTTTGGCATGGGGCTGCTGGTCTGTTTAGTCATGTTTTAGGAAGACTATTTTGGTATTTTTGAGTTTCATGTGGGGACTTCTATGATGAGATTCTGGGGTATGCCCTTAGCAACTGTATACTTCTCGAGTAAGTGCAACGGTCAACATTTCACACTTGTCGAAACACAACTTTGACCATTCATCATTTTCATTTCATCATTTTCATTTACCCCAGTGCTGCAAAGGCTCCCACCTCGGTGGGGTAACGGGGGGGGCGGATGTACGCAGTCTTACCCCTGTACTAAAGCACAGAGAGACTGTTTCCGGATGACCCATAGTGAAAATCGTGTCCAAAATTGCATGGACTGACTGCTGCTCCATAACAAAGAAGCGCAGACAGTTTAGTGAGCCATTTTGCTTTATTCCATCATAATCTCAAGCAAAAAAAAAATGAATCTTTGGCTCCATTGCAAATGATGGAAAATTTTGACCATTAATATATATAATTCTCAATTAATAAAAAAGTAAAAAAAATAGTTTTTGAAAATTTACAATGAGACAAATTTAACAATATTCTTTTTCAAAAAATATATTAATGAATTAATAAATAAAATGTAGTCAACCTAGAACATGTGAATAGTGTAGAATTCAACATGTTGCACTTATTAAAGAACGGAGGTAGTATATGACTTTGGCTTTGATATAAATTTTACAGTTCACCCAGAGTAAAGGTTGTTTGCTTCACATGCTGGGGTGGTTGGGGGAAGACAAAAGAACCCTCCAGGCTACGCAATGTCATGCGCAAGAAAATCTCATGAGTCCCCTAAGAGGAATTGCCAAAACCCTAAGTTCAAGTATCTAGGGCTATGTTCGGAAAGCACAAAATGTTAAGGAAAACACTACGTACTTTTGCATGCTTGATTTTACATTGGAAAATATGAAGAATTGTCCCATTTAATGAGAACTTTTTAGAATGTACATATTTTTTGTATTTTGGTCTTTATATAAATACACATAAATAAAATGAGGTTGAACCATTTTCCCGAATTTTCATTACTCTACTTTCCTAGCTATATTTCCCCCTATGCGGTTCCAAACAGGTACTAAATTTTGTGACTGATTATACAGTTCTGAGGTGTTAAGCACAATTGTGTAACTATCTACCATTGTAGTGAGGAATCCTACTTTCCTGGGGTCCTTAAGATCAATACTTTAAACTTAAGTGATTAAAGAAGACAAGACATATTTCAGCTGAGTAACAGGCTCAATCATATCACTTCAGCTTTCTTTCCAACCATCTAAATGTAAGAGTCAACTAATGAAGTAAATGTCACCCCCCCCCCCCCCCCCCCCCTCCGAAAAAAAGGTTAAGGTTTACGGATTTCGGAAGCACAACAAGAACTCTTAAACTGGCTTGCCTTTTTTTGTCACAGGCTAGATACAAAAGTTCAGTTATTGTAGAGTGCAGGCATGTCATCTCTACAATGGAGTTTGGCTAAGTACTCCAAAAATATATCGTCTTTCTACTCTGATTTTACATCTATATGTTTTAACCGTCTTTTGCAATTTTGGCTTGAGATTATGATGGAATAAACCAAAATGGCTCACTAAACTGTCTGCGTTTCTTTGTTATGAAGCAGCAGTCAGTCCATGCAATTTTGGACGGGATTTTCACTAAACTCTCTGTGCTTTAGTACAGGGGTAAGATTGCGTACATCCGACCCCCCCTTACCCCACCGTAGGTGGGAGCCTTTGCGGCACTGGGGTAAATGAAAATGAAAATGAAAATGATGTTTTAACCGTCTTTAGTATCCCAAGGGATTACTGCTCCAGCCCATGTGAAACTTAAATGTACTAGGCATCCACCCATTAGTGAAGTATATAATTGAACGCAAGTTTATAAAATTTTCATAACTGCAGAGAGCAATAATGTTTCTTGTGAATAAATTAATAACTAGACTTCAGTTTTCAAAATATAATTTACCTTGTGGTCGAACTCAGCTCGATCTGCAGCCCTCATATCACTGTGGAGTACTAGATCAATTGTCCTTGTGCTTTCCTTCACAGGAGGCTTCACCAGGCACTAAAATATAAAGAAACCTTTTCTATCAACAGAATTCTATAACCGAAACTATACAATCCGCATAGAAGCACAAGGAAAAAGTTTTTCTCATAACAGTTGATTAAATGCTCAAATAACCCTACTAAAATATGAAATTATACTTGACATTTTACAAGCCACTATATTTGAATCTACCTCTGGCTCATCTGTTGTCCATGGAAGACCTTGTGCAATTGGAATACGATACTTCTTATCCTCCTCCTCCATCTGCTTCAGCTTGTTGATAAATTCTTTCTCCTTGGACTTTCCCCTTTGCTGCAGAAGAGTCAAATACATTTAGTTTACCTTGAGGACCTTTGAAGCATTTCGACCTAATAACAACTTCAAATGGGAATGAAGATAAAGCTGTATCTTTAAGCACAATACTTCTAACTAAGTCATACCAACCTCGGTTCTAAGATTGAATGGATTCTGGGAGGTTGCTCTGGGCAGCCTTCTCTTCACGAACCTTCTAGCGGAAACCCCAGATGATTCAGCACTCTAGAGAGTTTAAATACAAACAGAATACAAATGAAGGATTAGTGAATACCATGACAAGCCCTCTTTCATTCAAAGTGAAGGGTAATCTCAAGATCCTTATTGTAACTTACATTACTTCTAGTATTGATTCCTCCAACAAGAGTCCTGCTTGAAATTCATACGTTTGACAAAAAGCTTTCGTTAGGATTTGAATCAAGGAAAGTTAGATAATGATACAATCAATAAATTAGCTACCACTAACCTTCCTTGGCTACTATCAAGTGAAAGTGAGCGGTGCGAATGCAACAAGCCAAGACTTTCAGAACTGATGGTACAATCTGACAATTCCAATTTCATCCCCTTCTCAATTTCTTCGCCTCCATTCTCATGCTTTTTCTCAGTCTCGTCTGGCTTATGAATGGTAAAAAGCTCTTCAAAAGCCTTGACCAAGTGCATCACATTTCCATAAGCTGGTTGAGTGCCATTCTCCATAGCATCTCCTAACACCTTAGCCCTCCTTCTCTTGACACACATTTCACCGCTCATCTTGCCTTCATTCAACTCCAGATTACTCGATGAAAAATCATCTGATTTTACTTTTCCTCCATTCTCTTCCTCATCTTTGTTGCTATTCACTTCCACGTCTTTACTTCCTATCTCGTTTTCAATGCGCATCTCCAATTCCTCCAGAACACTTTCCTCGCCATTAATTCCTCGGCGACTTTTGAAGAACTCCTCGTGTGAAGCCCTCAGAGATGCATAAGCAACACATGAACACTTCTTCCCCCCGCCCTTTCCACACTTACACACCACTGGTTCTGTTTTCGCAGAGTCCGTCACATCCTTTGTCGTATTGCGCTTCGCAACCACGAACTTCCTCTGTCGAATCTTCTTCTGTGACGAAGGAGAAACCATCGGATTAGGGGTTTTCGAAGCGGATTTTGAGGATTTCTTCGCTGATTTTGCGATGGATGGAGCATTCGCGAGTTTTGAACTGGAGCTTGAGATATTCGGATCAACATTTTCAGTAATCCTGGGGCAATGTGAAGAGACTCCAGAGGATTTGCTGTTCGACTCCATGGATATATTTCCGCAAACGTTGATCCCAAAAAGGTTCTAACTTCTAATGATTGCATGATCTTGAATTCCAAGTGAAGAGGAAATGCAACGGCTACTTCTTCGATTCTTCCGAATTCCGTTGGGGTGCTTCTCTTCCTCAGTAGCTACGTCCTACAGTTTATTTTTAAACATCTTGCCCTTTATGAAAAAACATCTTTGCCCTCACAAATTAGTAAAGTAAAAATCTTGTAAGTGAAATTTGGCCAAATTAGATTTATATTTAGATTAATACAGTAAAAATTGTGTAGTTGAAATTTGTGCAGAAGAAAAAGAAATATATTTAGCCACACATTTCTTACTTTAAATGGAAATGACATATATTTTTGGCACGATAAAAAAAGTAAATTTGGCCAAGTTTTATGGGACGGAGGGAATATCAACAAATGGTAAAACAAAAATCTCATTTTAACTCTGGAGTGTCATATTTGGAGGAAGATACATAACAACCTTTTTTTCATTAAAAAATCTTAATCTATTCACAAATAAAGTACTACCTCCGTCCAGCTATGATTGTCCCATTTTATCTTATTGGTCTGTCCCACTAAGATTGTCCCTTACCAAATTTGTTAAAGTTTGTGTGGTTCTAAATCATTCTTACTTTATTCTTACTTTATCAATTCAATATCAATCAAATAAAGCACTTTTTATTATTTTGCATGTCACTTCCTCTGAGGGCCGGTCCTAGGGGGAGGGCAGCAAGGGCGACCGCCCTAGGCCCGAAAAAAAGTAGAAAGGAAGTTAGGCCCAATCTTTTTTTTTTTATATGAAATCTGAGTAGGTTTCTTTTTTATTTATAATTTCTATTAATTAATTAGGCCTAATGTGTAATTTTTGCTGACAATTTGAAAATTTTAAAACATAAGAAAAAAGTCTTGAATGGAGCTAGACAAGTTTTAAAAAAGAATATAAATTTAGTTTTGATTTTTAAATAGAGTTGGTTGTCAGTCAACACATTTGTTGTTGAATCAATAAAAGAACGTCTCTTCACATCTTTTTAGCCTTTAAGACTTTTTATTCATTTTTATTACAAAATCACCAATTCATATTATTGTCTTTGGGTTGCCAGTGCCTCCCAATTCTCAAACATTATCTCAATTATCTATTATGTCTCAAAAAACTTATTGGATTAGCAATCATTGCACATGTGATCTTGGAAAAGATTGATTATAAAACAATTATTGATGATTTTGCTTCACAATGTTTTTTTGTGATACTTGTGTTGTTACTTTTGTCCGAATATGCATTTGAAATAATATGAAGGTGAATTTCATCTTTATTTTATAACATTTATTAGATAGTTGTAAGGAGAATTTCCTGAAATAGGAGTAATTGTTTTTTTGATAATTCCAAAAAAAATATCATGTGTTTATTTTTTAAATAGGAGTAATTACTATCATGTTCGGAAAATACTACCATGCATAAAGTATGATACTGTCAAAATATGGCAATCCCCCAAAAGGGCAAATATGACCACCAGAAGGGCAAATATCAAGAGAAAGTCAGCATAGAAGACAGAACACCAGACCCAACAGAAGAGGTAGCAGATAACCCTGCATTTCCAACACCTGCACCAAACCCCCTTCTGTTGAATAAAGACGAAGACTCAGAAGATGAAGAACAAGAAAGACCTAGACAGCAGCTGACAGAACCTGATCTGATATGGTTAAGAGACCATCCCCCAAATCAAGTTATTGGGCATATCAGAAGTGGTGTGCAGACCAGATCAGCATCAACAAGGAGAGAAGTAATGCTTGCCTGCTATATATCTCAGATGGAACCCATGACTGTGGAAGAAGCTCTTGCAGACTCAGATTGGATCAATGCAATGCAAGAAGAGCTTACTCAATTTGAAAGGAACAAAGTATGAGAACTTGTTCCTAGGCCAAAGCACCAGAATGTCATTGGAACCAAATGGGTATTCAAAAACAAAGCTGATGAAGATGGGAACATTGTAAGGAATAAAGCAAGGCTGGTAGCTAAAGGTTATTGCCAAGAAGAAGGAATAGATTTTGATGAGACTTTTGCACCAGTTGCAAGACTGGAAGCCATCAGAATATTTCTAGCCTATGCTGCCTACAACATCAAGGTCTACCAGATGGATGTCAAGAGTGCATTTCTGAATGGAGATCTTGAAGAAGAAGTTTATGTGGAACAACCACCAGGTTTTGTCATTTCTACTCACTCCTCCTGTGTCTACAAGCTTAAAAAGGCCCTCTATGGTCTTAAGCAAGCTCCCAGAGCATGGTATGACACATTGTCCCTTTTCCTAGTGAACCATGGGTTTACTAAAGGAAAGGTTGACAAAACTCTATTTCAAATCTCTGTTGCTAATCATATTCTGTTAGTACAAATATATGTTGATGATATTATATTTGGTAGTACTAATCCAGAACTGTGCAAGAAATTCTCTCAAGTAATGCAGAGTCAATTTGAAATGAGTATGATGGGAGAACTCAGCTACTTCCTAGGACTACAAGTCAAACAAGTTCCAGAAGGAATTTTTATCAATCAAGGGAAGTATACCAGAGACCTGATCAAGAAGTTCGGAGTGGAAGGCAAATCCTCAGTGAAGATTCCCATGAACACCTCACAAGGAATTGGTCCAGATGATGAAGGAAAGGATGTCGATGCAACAACCTACAGAGGAATCATAGGATCTCTGCTGTATCTGACTGCAAGCAGACCAGACATTTCATTCTCTGTTGGAATCTGTGCCAGATACCAGTCAAAGCCCAAGGAGAGCCATCTTAGTGCTGCAAAGAGAATCATCAGATATATCAAAGGAAATCCAAATGCAGGCCTATGGTATCCAAAGGGAGGTAACTTTGAACTAATTGGTTACTCTGACTCAGATTTTGCAGGTTGCAGATTAGACAGGAAAAGCACCTCTGGTCATTGCCAAATGCTAGGAGGGAGGCTTGTTTCCTGGTTTAGCAAGAAGCAGAATTCAATCTCAACAAGTACAGCAGAAGCTGAATACATTGCAGCTGGGAGTTGCTGTGCTCAGCTACTCTGGATGAAGCAACAGCTGGAGGACTATGGCATTCAAGCAAAGAAGATCAAGTTGCTGTGTGACAACACCAGTGCCATTGCCATCACTCAGAATCCAGTTCTTCACTTCAGGACAAAGCACATTGAGATCAGACATCACTTCATCAGAGATCATGTTGAAAAGAAGCACATTTGCATGGAGCATGTGCCAACAGAAGACCAGCTTGCAGACATTCTGACAAAGCCTCTTCCAGAGGCTAGATTCAACAAACTAAGAGAGGAATTGGGGATGATGGATGAAATCCCAAGAGAAAGTTGAAAAGGAAGGTCCTCTGTTGCAAAATCTCTGCTAACAGAATACCTGTTGCAGAACCCCTTCTGTTAACCCCCTTCTGTTCCTTATCCTGACAGAACACCTCAGCAACAGAAACCCTCCATCTTCTTACATCTAACAGAAGGTTGTGGACTTCAGGTCCAATGTTTTGAAAAAGCCGGGTGACCTAGTAACTTAATAAAGGTCTTTTACCCCTTTACCCTTAAAACGGTATCCAGCCGCAAAATATTTACTACGCCCCTTTTTACATTTATTGGTACCTCGAAACCGTAAATAATCCCAAGCGTCCACTAACCCGAACCCATATATTCCCCTTTCGCAAACCTAAACCGTTACTGCTTTCATTACTCTCAAATTCTCAAACCTCCATAGCTCTCAAGTACTCGGAAAACTTTTCTCTGTTCTAATGGATTTCATCAACATCAACGACCTCACCAAGGAAGAAATCAACATCCTGGTCACTAACATCTATACTGGGATGAACTGCGACCTTTCCGCACTCCCTGAACTTGCAGCAAATCATGAAACGATGGTGAAAATCATCAAGGGAATGGAGGACTCGCAACTGAACAAAGTGGTAGGATATCATTTTGATTCCTACAGCACGAGGGACGTGGCAGGGTTTTATCTCAATGCTACGTATGAAGGGGAGACCATCAGGTCCAATGTCAATGGTGATGACATAACCCTCACTCCGGAAGTCATCAACGCTCTGTTTGGCGTTGTAGAAGATCCTCAAGAAGAAGACACTGAAGGCTTCTTATCCCTGGACAGTGTCAAGGTCACTGTGGACAACTTTGTCCAACTCTACTGCCGACCTGAAGTGGGTAGAGTTCCCAAACTATACATGAAGAAGGACCTCCTTCAAAGTGACTATGAGAAGCTGGTCAACATCTTCCATAGGTGTGTCTGGAGCAAAAGCTGTGCTCAATGCAAAAGCTGTCTTTGCAGTTCATCATGGGATGAACATCAACTGGGGAGAGGTAATCATCAAATCCTTAGTTGAATTCATCAAAAAGAAGGACAAGGAAACCGGACTCTTCAAAACCCCCATGGGTTATGGCCTCCTAATCTCTGAAACCCTGCTCAAGGCAAGAATAGGGCTGAGAAACCCTCTTGAGGCAGATTACACCAAATTGTTTTTCCTCAATACCTCTGGTGACCGAAAGATTGCCCTCAAGGCTGAACAGAAGAGGCTGAGGACTCTGGAGTTTAACCGGGAGAAGCTCCAACAGAAGGCCATCAAACCCAAGAAGGCTGTGAAGAAACAGCAGAAACCCTCTACCTCCTCAGAATCTGAAGAAGTAGAAGTTCTGATCAGAAAACCTGTGAAGAAGGTTGTTTTGCAGAAGGCTGCCCCAACCAAGGTTCAGAAGCTGGTGGCAAAGAAATCAGTCATAAAGAGAAAGGCACCTTCCCCTATCTCTACAGAAAGCACCCCCTCTGCCTCCCCCATTGCAAAGAAGGCAAAGGTTCTGACACCTGCAGTACAGGAGGAGCTGTAGGATTCTGTCACCTCTGCCCCAGCCAACAGAAATGCTTGGCAAGGCAAGAGGATTGTTTTTGAGTCTAGTGACTCTGAAGAAGATGTAGCAGTACTGGATGCTACTGTTCAGGGGGAATCTCACAGATCTCCCTCTGCAACCATTCCTGATCAACCCATGATGCATTTCTCACCAGAACATCATAAAGTAGACAGAACCCCTGAGCTCACAGAACCCCAGGAGATTATCCCCTCTGATCTAGACAAAGAATTTATCAGGGTTCTGGCTTGGAGGAAGTGGAGAGTGGGATCTCTCCCTG